TTATTTTGTGACCTATTCCTGCCCTATTGTTGTGGCATGTGGTTACCCTGCTTGCAGTAAAGGCCTCTGTCCTCATGCACTAAAATTGCCCAATAACTTGCCATCTTTTCCCACTACACTGAGCTCCATGAGTGCAAGGTTTATCCTGATGTTTTATGTATTAAGTACATTTTTACCAACAGCCTGCTTGGTAAGCCAGGAATAGGGCGAGGCATTTGGGGTGTAAGAGTGAGGGGAAAATCAGGCACTAATCATGCACCCATGAAATTTAGAGTCTATTAACAAAGACTCATGCTATGATGAAGAGGAATGCAATGTTATAAGAGTGCCTAGTAGGTACCCACATTAGTCAGGGTTCTCCAGAGAACCGGAACAAGTAGGGGGTGTGTGTGTGTGTGTGTGTGTGTGTGTGTATACGTGTGTATGTGTGTATGTGCGTGCATGTATGTGTGTGTATGCATGTGTGTGTATGTGTGTATGTACATGCATGTGTGTATGTATGTGTGTGTATGTGTGTGTGTGCACACACACACCTAGAGATATAGGGAGAGAAATCTATGATAAGAAATTGGCTGTCATGACTGTGGAGCCTGGCAAGCCCAAATCTCCAATGTAGTTCCAGTCCGAAGGCCAGCAGTCGGAAGACCCAGGACAGCCAAGGTTCCAGTTCCAGTATGAAGGCAGTCTTTTGGAGAATTCCTTCTTGCTCAGGATAGCTGGTGTTTTTGTTCTATTGAGGCCTTCAACTGATTGGATGAGATGCATCTACATTATGGAGATCACCCTACCTTACCCAAAGTTTATCGATTTCAATGCTAATTCCATCCAAAAACACCCTTCCAGGCTGGGTGCAGCGCAAAGGTCCTGTGTCAGGAGGGAACACGGTGTTCTGGGGCATCTGAAAAAAGGCCATATCGCAAGAGCACTGGGAAGCTATAGAAAAGTTGTAGTGAATAGCATGATCAAACTTGCATGATTGCATGCTGAAGTTCCCTCTAGTAGGTACCCACATTAGTCAGCGGTCTCCAGAGAAACGAAACAAATAGGGTGTGTGTGTGCGCGCGCGCGCACATGTGTTCTCCAAAAGACTGCCTTCATACTGGAATTCCCAGCATTTTGGGAGGCTGAGGTGAGTGGATCACTTGAGCTCAGAAGTTCAAGACCAGCCTGGCCAACGTGGTGAAACCCTGTCTCTACAAACAATAGAAAAAAAAAAAATAGCCAAGAGTAGTGGTGTATGCCTGTAGTCCCAGCTACTCGGGAGGCTGGGGTGGGAGGATCATTTGAACCCAGCAGGTCAAGGCTGCAGTGAGTCAAGATCACACTACTGCACACCAGCCAGGAAACAGAGTGGTGAGACCCTGTCTCAAAAAATAAAATAAAATAATTAAAAAAATAAAAATAAATCAAAAACAAAAACACCCTTCAAGTTGACACATAAAATTAGCAAGTGCGGTATTCGGGCCTAAACTAGGAGGTCAGGAAACCCTCCTTTGAGAGAGAATCAATAATGTTGAGATCTGAAGAAGGGCCAAGGGCACATAGAGGAAATGAGGGGGAGAGGGAGGAAGGGAGGCCATGTCAGGTGCAAAGGTCCTGTGTCAGGAGGGAACATGCTGTTCTGGGGGATCTGAAAGAAGGCCAATATAGCCAGAAGGGAAAGAATCAGGGAGCTTGGTGTGAGATGATTCTGGATAGATGGGAAGAAGGCAGGTCCTGCAGGACCTTGTAGGCCTCAGTAAGGGGCTTGGTCCATATCGCAAGAGCACTGGGAAGCTCTTGCTTAGAAGTGTTGCATAGAAATGTTGTAGTCAATAGCATGATCAAACTTGCATGATTGCATGTTGAAGTTCCCTCTAGTAGGTACCCATATTAGTCTGCATTCTCCAGAGAAATGAAATAAATACGGGGTGTGTGTGTGTGTGTGTGTGTGTGTGTGTGTGTCTTCTCCAAAAGCCTGCCTTCATACTGGAATGGTGGCAATGAGAATCGGGTGTATACAGGCAAGAGTTGCCGTGGGGTGGCTGGTTGTATTATTCAGGATTCTTCAGAGAAACAGAGCCAACAGGCTACATATAGATACATGAGAGGGGATTTATTATGGGAATTGGCTAGTGTGACTACAGAGGCCAAGAAATTCCACAATGTGCTGTTTGTAAGCTGGAGAACCAGATAGCCAGTGGTGCAATTCAGTCCAAGTCCAGAGGCCTGAGAACCAGGAGAGCCTGGGGTGTAACTGTCCAAAGCCAGTGGTCTGAGAACTGGCGCTTGGGGTAGGGGGTGGGATGGGGAACTGCCAGTGTCAAGTCCTAGAGTCTAAAGGACCAGGAGCTCAAATATCCAAAGGCAGCAGCAGATGGATGTCCCAACCTGAGAAGAGAGAGTAAATTTTAGCACTGTCTTAAATTTTACAAAGTGATGCCTCCCTCACCTTATCTTCATTCGGACCTTGGCCCAGAGAGTCCCAGAGCCAGAAAAATCTATGGCCAATGTCCCAGATAGGCAGGCATGCACCTCTCCCCAGCAAATGGAAGTTCCCCAGAAAGACTGGGGGAGTTGGGAAGATGGGGCTGTCTGCAACATCAGCATTTCTTCACATAAATAAAATGACTCCACATTCAAAGCCGGGAAAGGAGGAATATAGCATATGCCCCACCTTATCTCTGTCATAGAGACCTGATGAACAGAAAACATGATATGAGCATGCTTAGAAACCAGTTATGCTATCAAAATCTATAATAACAAAGTGATATTGTTATTGTTGTTATATTGCACTCTATTTTCATATTTTTCTGTTTAGCAGGCCGATTTTTTTTTTTTTTTTTTTGAGATGGAATCTCCCTCTGTCACCAGGCTGGAGTGCACTGGCACTATCTTGGCTCACTGTACTTCTGACTCTCTTGTTCAAACGATTCTCCTGACTCAGCCTCCCAAGTAGGTGGTACTACAGGCATGTGCCACCATGCCTGGCTAATTTTTTGTATTTTTAATAGAGACGGAGTTTTACCATGTTGGTTGGCCAGGATGGTCTCAATCTCCTGACCTTGTGATTTACCCGCTTTGGCCTCCCAAAGTGCTGGGATTACAGGTGTGAACCACTGTGCCAGGCCTGTTTAGCAGGTTGATTTTTTTCTAACAGATTTTGTAATCTCTTGGATTATGTTTTTCTTTAGCTGTTAATTAAATTAATTTGGGTTCCTTCAACACACCCATTCACAAACGTTCTGCCTAGATGACAGAGAAAAGTCTGCCTAGAATGGAAAAAAAAACCCTATTAATAATCCACAAAAGGAATAACCCACAATATCATTTGGATTAATTGAGAATTGATTGGAATTATCTTGAGTCGGTATCTTCTCTGAATTGGTAAACCTGGCATAAACCTCTTTCAGGGCTGAGAGCTTCTTTCAAAAAGTTAGGCACTGCATCTCCCTAGTCCCCTGGCCACCAGTTTCTGCCTGCTTTGAAGGTAGGAAGGTTTCACATGATCATCATTTATGGATTGAATACTTTCCATGCAGAATGTATTGCATTTAAAAGCAGCTTCTGCCTCTGAATTATTTGCACTGTCTCTTCAGAGACAGGCAAGGTCAGTGGTGAGCTAGATTCACGAGCCCTTGGATTAGTATGGGGGTTGGCACACACCGTGCCGATGCTCGAGCTAGACCCTAACATTGATGAAGTCAATGCATCCAGATATCTACACACATCTCTTATCACTGACATGTCCTCCACGTTATTTTCTGTTCTTGGACTTTCTTCTTCTAAGTCACCCGTCAATCCTGATTCCTCAGGCTTCAGCCTGTTTCATTCAGTTGGGGAGGGCTGCTGGGGGTGTGTAGTTATATTCTATCGCTCTCCTCCTTAAAGGAATATTATGCTAAATGTTCCATATACCCTCCCTTCACTGCCCTGTTCAAAGAGGAGGAGCATCCCAATGAGAACCTCGTGCCATCTGTGAATTCTTAGTGTAGTATCTTCCATTGATTAATCAGACTTCCTAGTTTCAGACTGATTCTCTTCTAAATTCACAATGAATTGATGACTTAACTAATTACATTTGCAAAGACTCTATTTCCAAAGAAAGGCACATTCTGAGGTTCCAGGTTGACATGAATTTGGGGGGGATGCTATTCAACTTACAACACTCTCTAACCAGTGATGTACATCACTTGCATATTTGATCTCAACCTAGGAGTCCGTTGTCCCTTACATATTTTATGTAGATGAATGACTGACATAAATATTTTTGGAAAACTAAACATCAAGGTTGACAGATTTTATCAGATTTTATCTGCAGTTAAAATTCATGGGCCATGAATCTGGCCAAATGTCTATGAGTTTGACTGAATACTGCTGAAAGGCACACCACGGAATAAATCCAGGAAATACATGGCATAAATCCAGGACAGGCTTCATCTGTGTTGGGAACCTCAGCATAGTGTTGTGAATTAATTAATAGTTGCTTTTTATTTTATCTTTGCTTGTTGACATCTTTAAAATATACATATTAGGCTTTAGTTATACCTATTTATACTTTGCCTTTTCTTCTACGTTGATTGGTGAGAATTGAGGACAAATGAGGCTAACATGAAGTGAAAAATATTTACAATGAAAAAATATAAAACAAGAGTGATTTTTTGATTACTTAAAAACATAATTTTATAATATAAAATTGATGTATACTCATTGTGGATGCTTTGAAATAAATAGCCCAAAGAGGAAAGAAAATGCTTTTGTAATCCCAATAATCAGAATGAAGTATTGTTAATATTTTTGGAGTAGGCTTTTTCAGATCTTTTTCTAATTGTATGCACAGGTAAAAATGAAGCGTGAAGAAAATGAGACCTATGTTTATACACATGTACTCACAGGATTGTAGCTGCCCCTGCCTTTAAGAGGACGGTACAATTCATCTCAAGGAAGATTTTTTAAAATTATAAACATTCTTAATGGTCCTGATAAAGCACAAATGCTGGACATCTCTTCCTCTTTTCTAGGACATGGAAAGAGGAGACGGGCCTGAAAGACCAGTGAGTCACTCCCTATGAAACAGGAGGGAACTGAGTTATTTGTTGGCAGCCAAGATACTGGAGAAGATGATGGGCCAGGAAGTTGAAAGAAGGTGAGAGGATGATGAGGGAAGGGGGATGGGGAGAAGCTCTGGCCACATGGAAACCGGTAGAGTTCCAGAAGAGTGAAGCCAAGGAGAAATTCCTTGTGGCAAGGAATGTCTGATGTTAAATGTGAGGTGGTTTTCTGCGCTGTGCTGGGATGATACAACCTGACTCAGCTCTTCAGGAATTGTTCCCTACTAACAGCACCCTGCGGTTAGTGTTGCTTTGGTTGAAAGGAAGCATGAAAAAGCTCTTCTATGATTTCATTATTTTTTTTTTTACTTCCAACTCTTTAATCCATTCAGAATTTATTTTGATACAAAGAATGAGGTGGAACATTAGCTTAATTTTTCTCCTAAAGGTTAGCCAATGATCTCACCATCTTTTAAATGATTTTAAATGCTACCTTGACATTATTTTTACTTTTTGAGATGGAGTTTTGCTCTTGTTGCCCTGGCTGGAGTGCAATGGCGTGATCTTGGCTCACTGCAACCTCCGCCTCCTGGGTTCAAGCAACTCTCCTGCCTCAGCCTCCAGAGTAGCTGGGATTACAGGCATGCCCCACCACTGCCAGCTAATTTTGTATTTTTAGTGGAGATGGGTTTCTCTATGTTGGTCAGGCTGATCTCAAACTCCTGACCTCAGGTGTTCCTCCCGCCTCAGCCTCCCAAAGTGCTGGGGTTACAAGTGTGAGCCACCACGCTCGGTGACATTATGTCAAATTTTACTAAATGCTCAAGTACACTTTGGTCTACCCTTCTCTGGAGGAGACATTCCAATGTCCCGTCTCTCTTTTAGCTTTAGCAATAAACTTTCAAATTCATCTGGACACGTGGTTCTTCTAAGTCATTACTAGGTTTCCCCACTTCTTTTGCTGTAGCTGTGGCCAGTGAGATAGAAACAGGAATGTTGTATGTAACTTTCAGGATGGTTCTGAATGAGAGGGGGCTATGCTCCTCTTCACCCCTTTTCCTCCTTTCTAACAACTGCGATGTAAATAAAAAGAACTCTGGCAGCCATCTCGGACCATGAGGTAGAAGTTTCTTGTTGAATGTTATTGCAAAATAGAAGTAGTCTTGATTTCCTAAGAAGCCTCGATGACTTTCTGTCACCCGCGGATTGCTTATCTTTAGACTTCTAATAAATGAGAGAAAAATAAACTTTGATTGGGCTCAGGACACACCACTCCAAAATATCACTGTAGGAGACCAAAATATGCCATCCAAAAATCTGCCTCTTTGTCATCTTGGTTATTTTAAGTTAGCTATTTTGAGAAACTGCAGTCAAAGGAGTAGCTCTGAAAAGTTGTCCTTTTGTAGGAGAAATTTACATCAGTAAAGGAAAACTCCATTTGTAAGTATGTTTTTCTCTCTGTGCCAGGAAGAGAAGGAGGACTAAATTACTAGAGATTCTTATCAATAGAAAAGGCATAGACTTAAATCCACAAAGAAAACCTCATCCTTGTTTTATGGTGCTTTTCCTGGCCATCTGCTCTTAATCTGGGTTTTCCCCACACTCGTCTTTCTTTGATTCAGAGAAAAATGGCATTTACGCCTGAAGTTTACATGCTTCTTTTTTTTTTTGAGATCTGCTCTAGAGATTTGCTCATTTCTCTGGGTTTTCTTCCATATATATATGAGGCATACATGTTATGCCCATCAATTATAGTCTGGATAAAGAAAATGTGTGGCACATATACATCATGGAATACTATGCAGCCATAAAAAGTATGGGTTCATGTCCTTTGCATGGACATGGATGAAGCTGGAAATCATCATTCTCAGCAAACTAACACAAGAACAGAAATCTGAACACCACATGTTCTCACTCATAAGTGGGAGTTGGATGGAAAACACATGAACACAGGGAGGGGAAAATCACACACTGGGGTCTGTTGGTGGGTGAGGCACTAGGGGAGGGAGAGCATTAGGAGAAATACCTAATGTAGATGACAGGGTAATGGATGCAGCCAGTCACCATGGCACGTGTATACCTATGTAACAAACCTGCACATTCTGCATGTGTACTACAGAATTTAAAGTATAAAAAAAAAAAAACTTCTATTTTTCTCTTGCTAATCTGTCTTTTGTTATAGAGGGTCCCAGTTAAGAACTGTGAAGGGTAGTGAGAAAATCATTTCTCTTCCCCTAGAACTTGTATCTGATTTGAGTCCTTTTTACGTTGATTTTTTTTAGTGGTCATTGCAGGTGAACCTCATCCTAAGTGATGGGACTTTGTGTTAGGTATCGCTGGTCTATCTGCATATTCATGTAACAAGGTTTTGCAATTTGACTTTAACATTGTAACACATCTTAATGTGATACAATACAGGTCGTTCTCTTTCTTCTTTTCCATTATTTTCTTGGCTATTCTCATCTGTTATTTTTCTTGGTAGACCTTATGATAATTATGTTACTTTGTAAATCCAAAAAAATCATTTTTGGATTTTGATTGAAATTGCATTACACTTATGAATTAATATAAAAGCACTGAAATCTTCATAATATTGAGTCTTTACTATCCAGAAATATGTTTCTCAAATCTTTTTTATATTCCTCAAATAGGTTTATATTTTCTTTTATTTCAGTTTTACATGATTTTTATACTTAATTTTGGATATCTTATTTTTGTTTACATTGCAAATTGAATTTATTCACAGAAATTATTACTCTAAGATATAGTTGATTTTTGTAAATTTATATATTTTTTATGGTGAAAGATATACATATATTTAGAATTAGCCAGTTGGACTCAGTTTAGATGATCCCAATTTTGTTGGCAACATCCAAAGCATCATAATCAGGAGCCAGTCGAACATATGCCTTCTTCTCTCCATCAGGCCGAATCAGGGTGCTGACCTTGGCCACATCAATGTCATAGAGCTTCTTCACAGCCTGTTTAATCTGGTCTTGTTGGCTTTAACCTCCACAATGAACACAAGTGTGTTGTCGTCATCTGTCTTCTTCATGGCAGACTCAGTGGTCAGTGGAAACTTGATGATAGCATAGTGGCCAAGCTTGTTTCTCTTGGGGACACTGATCCGAGGATATTTGGGCTACCTCTGGAGTCGCAGTGTCTTGGGCCACCGGAAGGAGGGTAACGTGCAGATCTTCTTTTTTTTGTGGCTGTGGACACCTTTCAACACTGCTGTTTTGGCCTTTGTAGCCCTTGCTTCGGCTTCGGCTTTAGGAGGGTCAGGAGCTTCCTTCTCTGCTTTCGGTGCCATCTTGTGAAAAGGGCTGATCATTTATATTGTTAAGAGGGCAGAAAAAATAGATTAAGAAAAATTCAGCTACTTCTTCGTCCTAGGGCAATGTCATAACTCATCTCTGGAGGCTGTATTCTGCCTATGTGTTAAGCAAATGCCTCAGTGGGTCTTTTTGGTTGAGAAAGTCACAGCCTGGTATTTGGTCTGGCAAGAGCAAAGAGACCCAAATGACTGTATCATAAAGAATTTTAAATGGTTGCAGGCAATCTGGGAGAGTGGGTGAGGGACCAAGAACAGGAAGGTGAGAAGAGTATGGGGAATGTGTAGAGAGGGAGTAGAAGAAGAACCGGAGAGAAAGTGGTGGAGATGCTAGTGTAGACTGGCACTTAAGGAGGGACATGGCCAGTGAGAATGTCCCTGTGTTGAGCAATGGAAAATGCATTTCTCGACAGGGATGACTTATATTCAATGTTGTTGCCTCTGCTACTGTGCAATAAATATACTCTTTATTTTCCCAGTTGCTTTGGGGAAAATCCTGCTCTATGTAAAGGGCTTGGATTTATGATGCTTTGATGAATGAAGGAATGGGGGCAGTGTTCAGCCTGGGGCTAAGCGATGCAGGAAGAATAAAACCGCAATGAGAGGCAAGTGAAGAGCAAACACCAAGAATCCAGTGAAATTGAGAAGTTACAGCAAGAGGTAACCAGGAAAAGTATAAAATCTGCTGATTATCCTGCTTAATTGGAGAAATGCCAGGTTTTCTACATGGGATGGAAGATCAAGCTATTCAGTCTGAATTAAAGAGAAAGGTTATTTAAGAAGGCTGCATGACTTGAAGATACTCTGGAGGCAGAAATCTAAGTTACAACTATATAGTTCATTATGTTATGTTGTTACTAGTTTTATTTTTGATTGTTATTGAGAATAAATATACAAATAGACCATGGTCAGACCATATATGACAGCAGAGATCTGACCCACAATTTTTGTAGCAACCGGCCCAGGAAGTCAGAGCAGGACCTCTGCAGCAGTTCAGAAGTCAGCATTTAGTCAATGATGGCCCACTCCCCAGTTTTTGCCCTTGCTTCCATCCAATTCAAGACCAACCAGAGGAAGCCAAATATGCTGTCCAACTGATCACATATGATGCTTCTAGTTAGCCTACCTCCTGCTTTCCCAGGCCAAAAATCTATCAGAGTGTCTTAGTTCTGGCTGCTTTAACATACTGCATGGGTTATAAACAACAGAAATTTATTTCCCACAGTTTTGGAGGCAGGAAGTCCGAGATCAGGGTGCCAGCATGATTGAGTTCTGGTGAGGACCCTCTTTTGGGTTGCAGACTGTGGATTTCTTGTTGTATCCTCACTTGGCAGAAAGAGGGTGAGAGAGGTCTCTGGCCTCTTATAAGGGAACCAATCCTGTTTGTGAGGGTTCCATCATCATGACCTAATTACTTCTTGCCGTGGTTTGGCTATGTCACCACCCAAATCTCATCTTGAATTCTCATGTGTTGTGGGAGGGACCTGGTGGGAGGTAATTGAATCATGGGGACAGGTCTTTCCCATGCTGTTCTCGTGATAGTCAATAAGTCTCACAAGATCTGATGGTTTTTAAAAACGGGAATTTCTATACACAAGCTCTCTTCTCTTGTTTGCCGCCATGTGAGATGTGACTTTCACCTTCTGCTGTGATTCTGAGGCCTCCCCAGCCATCTGGAATTGTAAGGCCAATTAATCTCTCTCTCTCTCTCTCTCTCTTTTTTTTTTTTTTTGTAAATTGCCCAGTCTCAGATATGTCTTT